TCAAGAATTTCAATTACAGAGATTACATTTACTGAAGAAACCTAATAATTAAAATTTAAAACTAGAAAATAGAAAAATGCAAAGAAGATAGCAATGGACATTTCACACTAAACATCTGATTAGAGTCATTTATTGGCAATTATTGGCAATTAGAGTTTTGACCAGGGCCACCATAGTAAAAGAAGCTCCCCCATTCATCATTATACCCTGTTTGGATATCATAGCAGTTGGATTGCTCTGTGTAGGTCCCAAGCCCTTTTGGGGACTTGAGGTTGTTCGAGGCGTCGACCACTTGAATGTTTCGGAAATAGCTCGATTTTCCGAAACCTTCTTCTGGAAAGCGGCCACTTCCCATTTGAGTGGAGGTGTGTTGTCCGTTAGGCTCCGAGTTGACGACCTCACCACCCCACTCGATCATCGAGGCACTCTCGCCCAAGTACGAGAACAAGAAAGATGGCCAATACCCCAACACATACTCCTTCCCAAATTGCATCCACCAGTGACCTTCTTTTGGATCCTATATTAATTCAGCAATAGTGCAATTACCATTTTTTTAAGAAAATAGTAACCCCACAACAACACTACTAATCTTTGAAAGAATATATGATTTTGTTTTTGTACTATTTTTTACCTAGATGTATGTTGTTAAAAATAGCACAATTTATATTAGTATTTGTGAAAATGACATCACCATGTAATATTAAAAATAGCAACATGTAAAATTAAAAATAGCATCAAATACGATTCTCACTATTCTCACACTTAGACTAGTTTTTATTTGAACCACCCGAGTCTATATATATATATATATATATATATATATGTATGTGTGTGTGTGTGTGTGTGTGTGTGTTTGTGTTCTTAAATAGGCTAATGGTCAAGTTAGTACTAGCAATTTACACTTAAATAGTATGCAATGATTGTATGGTACAACAAACAAGGTTAATAATTAGTAAAGAAAACTGCAAGATTCTCAGTCAACATCACTATAGTAAACTAGTAATTATAATTTATATCCAAGTAACATATTAATTTACCTTCTTAACACAAACATGTATACCCAGTTATCAATCTCAAAGCTTTAGACTATTAGTAAATTGAGATCTTCCAGTGAGACGGAGAGAGTGCAACACACCGTTTTCTATCAAACAAGATAATTTTTTTTTATCGTAAAATTAATAATTATTGCTTTAAAAGATACCCAAGATTTCTTGAGGATATTTTTTTTTTATGTTCAAAAAGAAATATTTTTTCATCAATGCCTTTTTGACTGCGAATTGATCTCACACGAGTTACTGTGGACCACTAGATATCGGTTAGTGACTTTCAAAAAGCGCGGTGAAATTGCGGAATTTACCTTCCAAATGAGAATGCTAATATCATATTGTGAATTCCTATATGCAGAAACAGGGGAGATGCTTGCACCCATTGCTATATCACTGTTGACTTGAATAAATCCCGAGCACAACAGATTGTAGCACCCCGTTGCTTGATATGCATCACTCTGGAGTTATTATCCAAGTGAAAATTATAAACGAAACAAAATCAAATCAACTCGAATCAAACAAATGATTTCTTTTCTCAACAAATGATCATCAGCTTATTCGTTTCGAAAAATAACAAACAAGAAGCTTATGAGGTTACTTACAGTCCAATAAGTGAAGAGCCTTGTGTTGTTGTCACCATAGAGATCCGGGCTGACCTGAAAAACAAACCACAGTGTAAGCAAAATTATGTTTCAAGGCAATTTTTCGAACTTTTTTCTCCGGTGTTAACTTGACTAAATATATGCACCTGCCAGCCAGCTTCAATGCTGTTAAGATCCTGGCCAAAAGAACCACCCAAGATCCAAATCTGAGACAAGCTGAATTCATTGGGCTGTTGTATTTTCGGCTCCCAGACATTAATGGTTGCTTTTGCTCCGTAATATTTCTCCCCTTCAACATATGCTATGGCATGCTACAGGCGCAAAATAGTCGACACCGTAAGAATACACGGTCGCTTTCGAACAAGAAAACAAACACAATAAAGCAAGGAAAAGTGTTTCTTTTGTTTCTTCATGCCAAGGGCTTGCTTTTCAATCTAACTACCTGATGACCAGTTTGGGTGGTGAAGTCGGGTTCGACCGACCTGGGCTTAAGGAAGCTTCTGTGCTTCTTCTTGCCGTAGCTTTTCACGGAGCTTGCCCTCAACACATCTTCTTTTGTCGTCCTTCTTATCGGGACAGTGTTATCCGGGCACCTGCCATTCATGTGCCATAGCTGAGTGATTGTGTTTGGTCTTTCTTTACGACCTGCTGACATCTCGTTCGACTCGAAAAGGCCTTCCGGGTGGTAACTAGGCCTTGCCTAAAGTAAAAGAAAACAGTAAAATGAAGACTATAACCAACCACAGCACAGTGGATAAGACAGACAACATGGGATGAGATATGAATGAAACCTGGATTTTGTGGTCTTTGAGGAAAGGGTGATCCAAAGCTGGCTGATGAGAGATGGGAACACAGTCAATGATATCCCCATCTGGGCTCTGTTCAAAATGGTTAAACAACATAAAAACTAGATCTTTAATCTCAGCATTGGCCTCCAAAAATCTATCTTTTTTAACAGCTTGAAAAAACACATTAACCCGCACTAACATAAACCAAAGAGAACAAGAAAATGGTAAATGAAGACTGAATGAAGACCACTAGTGAAGCAGAAACTCATAAATGAAACAAACAAGGGAAGCTCCCATGGAATCCTAACCAACACAGCCACAGAGAATGAAAAACAAACGAAAAAAGCTTCAAAATAGGAAATCAAAGCGAGGGTTTTTTCTTGAATGGGGACCTTAATGGTTTTAACAGGAGGCTTATTGAGCCTCTTTAAGTGCTTCTGAACTTCAAGCTTCTGTCTTGAAGAAGACAGCCTCCCGGCGCACGATAGCGAGACAAGGCACCATACAGAAACCAAGAAGAAAACCACTTGCATCTTCCCCCTCAACAGACCGTCGCTACACTGCGCAGCCGCCATTGTTGGTGATCTCGAACTCTTAACCCAGGTGAAATTATCTGAAAAAAAAAATTCAATCTTTAGGGCACAGTGGGCTTAGAATAGAGCAAATAACACCAAACCCACCTTGGTTAAGAGGCTTGGGGTTATTATTTTTTTACCCTTTTGCTCGCTTACCCTTCTTTCTTTTTCAGTTGTACTGTTTGGGAGTGAGAGGGACCTCTGCCTGACTCTCTCTCCTCTCTCTCTCTCCCTCTCTCTCTCTGTGAATCTTCTGTGTATTTTATTGAAGATTTTTATCTACTGTTTGAGCTGATTTTTCTTTAAAAAAAAAAAAGAAAAGAAAAAATAATAGTAATAATTTGAGGTATGTGGACACGAGGGGCAAAAGTGGGACGGCGAAAAGTAGGGATAGTGGTTAAAAAATATTGGCGTCCACTCGTCATCTGCCATTGATGCTGTACTGTGTGTCGAGTGACCCGGTGGCCGGTTTTGACCTCTTCATCATTTTGAAATTGAAATGAAATGCAAGGAAGTTTTGGATTACTACTGATTTACCCTTGTTTTTCTCCACATTTACATGCCGGCCCACCCGCAACGGTCCATGGGAGATGGGACTTTACTGCAGTTTACCGAAAAGAGATTATTTTGATAAATTTAGCCGGGTGAAATTTTTTTTTTTTCTTTTTTTCTTTTTTAAGATAACAAGGGAGGGGGGATTTTGTTTTTTACAATACTGTTCCCACTTTTCCTCATCAGTGACTCGAACTCATTATTTATCGGTCATAGGGTGAAACGTCTGACATCAACAAGGGAGGGGAATTAAGGCATGATCTCTACTTAATTGGAGAGTTTATTTTATTGTAGAGAAAAGTGAAATTAAAATCAAGTTCTTGTCTCTAACTATTTCCGCTACATTTTACTTCAAAAAATATTTAATTTTTATTCTCATTATTTTAAATTATATTAATATCACAAATGTCATTTAATAGATATCTTATTACTCTTATCTATAAAAAGGAATACTTGTCTTATGTATTTGACACTAATATAGGATATACGTCAGTGAACGACCCGGCTCAGCGAGCCGGTCGAACAAAGCTGAACATAAAAGAGACAATGCTGGGCAAGGTGATAAGGGGCTATGTGCCAAAGTATGGTGACATAGAAGTTAAGAAGATGAGGATTTTGGCATGCGAAGCAACCTCGAGACCTGGGAAAATCTGGTCGATAACGTCGAGCAGGGAATTACTCAAGTGGTTGATACACAGACTGAGAGCAGTCCGATGGTCGATTATTCTGTGCAGATGGTATGACTTAGGAGATTGACTTGGATAAGGTCAAATGTGAAAGTCTCTAACAAAATTGTCAGTGTGACGTCAGGGGAATCGGGTGGGAATATTTCACCCCATGTGCAGAGGACACGTGGCGAAGGAGGATTGGTGCAGAAGAAAGTGGCGACGACTACATCTTACACAACACAATGTGTGCGTACGGACGGGCAGGCAAGGGCAGACAACTCATCAAATACGAGAGCCGTTAGGTCAGGTATCTCACCCTTATATATAGGGGTGAGTCTTTCTTGTTATACACGATCACTGCATTTTTTTACCTTTGAGAGTTGATTGAACAAACACTGCTTTAAGCTTCGGAGGCTCTTCACCGGAAAACCCCTCCAGTGTGAGAGTTTTTTGTAGGTGTGTGGCCTTCAACCGGCGAGAAGGAAGGTGATCTGTCAAGTTCCAGTCGGTCGAGGGTTTTTACGTTACCAGACACATTTCCTCCATTTTTTTATGCAGCTACGTTGCCTTTATCAAAACGCCATCCTTTTTTGTTTGAAACAAAACGATGTCATTTTGTGTTTGATTATTTGTCTTATGCGTTTTATTCTTCTCCAGAAAGTATTCCACCCGATTTTTGTATGCTTCAAATCTCAATATGTCGTCCTTATTTCTTACACAATAATTTGTTCAATTTTTTTTCTTTTCCTTTTCGCTTTGACTGTCGTCGTTTGACCCGAGCGCTTCGGCATGAACGACAGTGCAATTTCTCCCAACTATAGACTGATAGATCAAACCTCTACGGCATGGAGGCCATGGACTCGACGGAGCCGATTGCAATGTCGATATTATTTGTTAGGTAAGCTTCGTGTCTTTTGGTTTTAATACATTTATAATTTAGGTTAAATTATTGGGGTTCGTGCGTGTACGGGGCTTACTCGGGTTTGTACGTGTCGTTGGGCTCGTTCAATAACTACAAGCTGAAAAAGAAAAAAGATGAAGATGACAAACATTTGGTGTCCGAGAGAGATGTGATTAAGAGTGTCCTCCTCCAGCAAGTGGTTCAAGCTATTGTTCCCACAATCTTTTTTTTTTTTGAAATGATGGAGAATTCTATAGATAAAACCGCACAACGTGCAAAGGTACATCCCCTAGCTGAATGGAACAACTAACAAGTGAAAAAACTAGGAGACGGAATAAAATCACGTCTAGAATCGAGCCTAGCAATGGAAGAACCTAAAGCATGACACTCACAACACCACAAACACTACTGTGCTCCCAAAAAGAGAATAACAGATCCCAAAAGGATAATACCCGGTCACACTCGGGGTTTTTTTTCTAAAACAATAGATATTATAAATGAGAAGAGCCGAACAACATTCAAATCGTCATACAAATCATGGGAGATTCACTCAAAGAGTGATCTAGAAACACGCAGCCACTACACAAGAAAAAGTGGGGATGCAACCACCGAAGACTTTCCCTTGCCAAACCAACTAGCTAAAGAAGCTAACACCGTACACACGAAATGAAAGACATGAAAAAAGAAACAAAGACTCCTAACAACTAGATCAACCCAAACTCAAAGACCAAAAAGAAAATCAAAGGCAGTAACCACCCGAGCTATCTATGCAAGCTCGCAAATTCTTGCCATTCCCTCCATGCCCCGCATACAACTATCTCTTCTAGCATCCACATCTTCTCAAAAAGCCACAGATTCCGAGAACACCAAAGCCACAGATTCCGAGAACACCAAAACCAACTAGCTAAAGAAGCTAACACCGTACACACGAAATGAAAGACATAAAAAAAAGACTCCTAACAACTTGATCAACCCAAACTCAAAGACCAAAAAGAAAATCAAAAGCAGTAACCACCCGAGCTATCTATGCAAGCTCACAAATTCTTGCCATTCCCTCCATGCCCCGCATACAACTATCTCTTCTGGCATCCACATCTTCTCCAAAAGCCACAGATTCCGAGAACACCAAATCCACCATAATATATATGTGGATAACTGTATTCTGGCTTCAGCTACATCAGAGGCTTCCAATGCACGCACATTTCACAACCATAATTTAAAAGACTGATTTTATAAAAGCTGGTCCTCTCATTCAATGGGAGCTAATTTCCAAACTTTCTAAGCCCTTCGACAAGTGAGTAGGAGATGTTAATAGGTTCTGGTTATTCTCCATACATATGGCATACTACATCTGCTTGAATTCCTCTTCTGACCACATTGGAGCTCACAGACAGAGATCTAATGAAACGTTTCTACAGAAAGTGTTCAATTTTCCCTTTAGCTTTCAACCTCCATGTTCTGTTTCTGGCTTGTCTATCAATCAAAGCAGAATGGCTGGTTTCTGCTTCATCCAGCAGAATAAGTTTTTGAGCCACGAGATGTTTATAAGAGCTAGCTATTGAGAATCTTCCACCATTGTCAAGGTTCCATCTCCATCTCTTTGGCTTATCTGTGACATGGATTTGATTTCCATAATTGCTTGTCTGTCATTGTCATTGAACAGCTGCCTCAGAAGACTTTCATTTCAATTGTAGTCATCTTCATCCAACAGTTCATGTACCCAGATTGTAGTCAGCCTATCAGAGTCTAAGAACATAGGCCTGACATGATTAAGACTGGGAACCCAACTATAATCATTGATTTTGGTTAGTTTCCCAGCTCTAATTTCCCTATGCAGGCCTTTAACAAAGATAGGAATGACAGCAACCCAATTATTCCATAACCATGAAGCAGAGTGGTTTTTTTTTCACCTCAGATATAAAAGAAGTAGAGAAATACCTGGTTTTGAGTACTTGACTAACTAGTAGTTCAGGCTTAGTTGTGATCCTCCACAATTGCTTCAGAAGGAGAGCTTCATTAAAAAATTTGTAATCTTGGAATCACAGCCCTCATGTACACTTTGACTGAGCCAAAGTGGACCATTTTTTCCAATGGATTCCCTTCTCAAAATTTACACCCTTACTCCACCAGAAGTCTGTTGTTAATCTACTCAGCTCATCACAAATGCTCACAGGTAACTTAAAGCATGCCATTGAAAAAACAGGTAAAGCATTTATTACAGCCCTAATAAGGACCTTTTTCCCAGTCGTGGACAATTACATATTCTTCCAATTGGTCAGCCTTTTCTTCACAGCTTCAGTGATGTAAGCAAATGTTTCCTTTTTTGACTTGTTAATTCCAACAGGAAGGCCTAGATACCTAGTGCAGTTGTGGGCCTCAATCCCTTCCATATTACTGCAAAGAGAAGTCTTCAGGTATGTAGGTGTGTTTCTGCAGAAAAACACTGTGAATTTAGCCATATTCACCTTTTGTCCAGAGAAATCCTGGTATACTTTCAGCACAACCATTAACTCGGACTTATTGAGCTTCAGCTTTGCAGAAGATTAAAGTATCATCTGCAAAGAGCAGGTGAGTAAGAGTAGGTCCTTCCTTATCAACTCTATGTCCCCTGAAAAGCCCTCTATCTGTTGCATCTATAATGAGAGAAGAGAACACTTAATGATCAGAAGAAGATAGGGGGATATAAGATCCCATTGTCTCAATCCTCTAGAAGGATTCAAGTATCCCATTATTTTGCCATTGACCAGAAAGGAAAAGGTAGGTGTGGAAATGCAAGCATATACCCATTTGACAAAACAAGCTTCAAACCCCATTCTCACACCATAGTCTTGCACACACTTCTCCACTCCACTCGGTCATATGCTTTGAGCATATCAAGT